ACATGAAACTTAGTCCGTAAATGCATTATGGTTTCTTCCATTGTATGGACAAGCTGCGTCCGGAAGTTATGCAGGCCGGCGTCGAAATTCCAAGCCTCTTGAAGTAGTTCATCATATTACACAGGATGTTGCTGTAACTTAGCCGTCATTGCGTGTTGAACGTTTTTTGCTGCTTGGCGTGGGTTGCCGCGCCTACGGCTAGTAGTAGAGCATCGTCGTCGGCATCCTTTGCGTTTGATAGTAGCAGCTGAAGTACATCTATATCTATTGGCTTCAGAGGTTCTCAGGAGTTGATTACTAGTTCTAGGCTCAACCACTTCACGTTTACCTTATAGCCATCCATAAATTGGTGCTCCACTATCCCTTCAAACGTCCCTCGAGAGTGATGTGGTCGAATAGCTCCTCCGAATCTTCAAGCGAGCGTAGAATTTAATACGCAACGGGTGCACATTCATGATACCACCGTTGACTAGGTATTCTGCCGTGAAATAGTAGTCTGTGCTTGCCATAACGCGGTACTGGCCAACCCACATGATGCACAACTTGTTCGCGTGTAGCTTCTCATTGACACGTGACCTCAACACGTAGTCACCGACTGAGAAGTTCCCGTCTTGCTTGAAGTGGTACCTGGCACGGGACCGCTTGTCCCTTTTTTTTGCGCTCAGCTTTCACCGAAATATGCATGATGCTTTCAAGTAGTGCAGCAAGTTGCTTCTCCATATTTGGCTGTGGATTGTTCAGTGTGGCAACATGTCCCTTCCCTCCAGGAAAAACACGTATCAAGGTGTTTGGGCACGGCAAACCAGTGATCAGCTCTATGGGTGAGTGGTTAGCTAGAGAAGGGACCGGGGAATGGTTGGTACTTGGCATTACTAACTGTAACAGATATGGCCAGTCTTGCAAGCCCTCGCGAAATTCCAGTGTCAATGCTTTCAAAACTTGCAAAATGTCTCGATTCACGAGTTCAACTGATCCATTTTACCACAGGGAGTACGTTATAATAAATTCCTGCTGTCATAAATGGCGTCGACTGAGTTCGGCGACGACTGTTGCCTTGAAATATGATCCCAGATTGCGCTCCAAGACCACAGGCTGTTCGCACCGGCTATTACCAGGCTAGGATCGCGGAAGCCGCAACAGTATATGTGGGGCCATCACAGGCCAGAAGGTCGACAAAATGTGTATCTTCATCTCTCAGAATCAACACGTGGTATCAAGAGCCAAATGATTCTCCCAACGTTAGAAAATACCAGTGCAAGGTCGCGTTCCGTTCAAATGTGCGGTGTGTTTCGCTAAAAGGTTGAGAAATTACCGTCCCTTCTTTCACGTGCAAACAAAACAGGTGCTTCGAACAAAAACCTCTTTCACCATTCCATTGAGAACGACAGTCGTAAACAAATACCGACGTCATTCTCCATAACATGTACGCTACGATGTCCTTTCTGTCCACAATGAGCAATATCAATAGCTATCAAGTGAGGTTGAGAGATGCACGAGGATTCCAAATCCTATCTCCCAGTCGCCAAACTACGTTCTCATCCAGCGTTGTACCCCGCGGGATTTCGAATAGAGCTTGCACGCTGCTGATTTCGGTAATGGTTGGCCAAACAAAACCATCTTGATCGAGTGAGCGCAGCGAGTGTACCACGTTTGGCTGTCGCTCGCGGCAGCAACAGTTTGAGCTAGTGATCGCTTTGAAAGAGCGAATCTGTGCTGCAGACAGTGACTTGCCTCCCCACCTCAAAATCAAGTCCGCCCACAGTTGTGGATACCTTCATTGTGCTCAATGAAGTACCTGCACTCCAGAAGTTTGTCGGTCAACGTAGTAGTTTACCACATACATACCGGTTCAACTCCTTGTTCGGTCCGAGCAGACAGATACTGTTGGGGTAGTCAGGGATTTCAGTGATTTACAAGCGGGAACGATTGGATAATCCACCTTTTTGATCACGGCCTATTTGAACGATGATGTCGTGAAACTCTCTCTCATACAAAGCAGGATCTCGTGGTTCTGAATCGGGCTTCCAATGGTTACTTGCAAGACCCCGAGTCCACAACCTCGATCCGATGCGTCGGAGAGCAGGTCAAGCTGTTGGAATAGGTGTGAGTACGCCAGCTTTGCGGAATTACTAAGTAAGTTTCTAACCGCTTGAAACGCTGCTCGTACGTCTGTGATCAGGTCGATCTGCACTGCGGCCGTTGCTCGCTTCGTTCTTTTAGCTCCTGATAGTGCCTCATCGAGTCGTTCTTTAAGTGACCACGATACGAGGGCATAGTCAACAAGATCAGCTCTCATCCAATTGCCCGCAGATAAAAACTGTTGGAGCTCTGTTTTCAGTAGTTAACAATGGCTGGGAATCTTCACACCTACCCCGGTACCCCAAGGTAGCACCGGTGCTGTCCTACACTTTCCATCTACTGTGAAAATGGTCCATGGGGACTTCGTGAACAAGTGTGTGGTTATCTGGATCGACGATGTACTGTTTTTTGCTGGCACGCAGGAGGCACTGGTGACTGCAATTGAAGCCGTGCTCACAATACATGATGAGCATTCAGGCCCTTCGTGAATGTGTCGAGGGTGGTATGCGGTAAGCGGCTTCACATAATTTCATGGGATAGATCTCTAGTTATATTTGGTAGACACTGGCCTGTATGCGTTTAGGCTTCCTATTGGTAGAAAGGCAACATCTTTCTACCTATTGCAGCAGTAAAATTTCTTTCAACCATTCGCTGGCATATAACTTTTATAGAAAATACCAGTTTTAGGAGGAAACTCAAACAAAGACCTAAAAACATACATAACAGGTCTTATTTTACCGTAAATCGGTTCTGTAATACTTATTTAAGTAAGTCTTTATTCAGAGAGTATAGTTAATCTAAGTAACTCTACTTTAGGTTTCGTCATACGCGTGTCCCCTTTGCCCCCAAAACAACGTAT